TTTATTATTAATTCAAACTCTTCACTTGTTATTAGGCGGTTTAGATTTTCCTTTTCATTGTATTACGTGATAGGTTGTAAGCTTCTGGGAATTTATCTGGTTCTTCTAGTGTTCCTTTAACGCTGGTGTATAATTGTTTGTAGTACTGTCTTATGATCTTTAGTATTTGTGTCAGATGAATTGCAATACATCTTCTTAACGTTTACCTAAGTCGTCTTTCTTTTTTCTTAGTCTAGCTAAAGATTTCTCAATTTTGTTTATATTTTCATAAAATTAGCTCTTAGTTTCATTGGTCGATTGTCTTTTTAGTCTCTATTTCATTTACTTCCACTCTGACCTCTGCTATTTCCTTTCTTCTACTAACTTTGAGCTTACTTTGCTCTTCTTTTTCTAGTTCGTTGAGGTATAGAGTTAGATTGTTTATTTGATACCTTCTGTCTTAATGTAGGCATTTGCCACTACCAACTTCCTTCTCAGAACTGCTTTTGGTGCACCTCACATGTTCTAGTCTGTTATGTTTCCATTTTCACTTGTCTCAAGGTATTTTTTTAATTTCTCTTTTAATTTTTTATTTAAGCCATTGGTTATTCAGGAGCATTTGGTTAATGTCCATATATTTGTAGATTTTTGAATTTTCTTCGGGTAACAGATTTCTAGTTTCATATCTATGTGGTCAGAAAGGATGCCTGATATTATTTCAGTGCTGTAAATTGATTATTTGTTTTGTGGCATGACAAATGACCTATTGTGCATAATGTGTCATGTGTGCTTGAAAATGTATATTCTGCTTCTGTTAAATAGAAAATTCTGTATATGTCTGTTAGGTCCATGTAGTCCAACACGTAGTTTAAGTCCAAGTCCCGCTTAGTGATATTCTGCCTTAAGGATCTAGCCATTACTAAAAATGGGGTATTAAAGTTCCCTACCATTTTTGTGTTGCTGTCTATTTCTCTTTTCAGATCTATTAATATTTGCTTTATATGTGCAGGTACTCTCATGTTGGGTGCATAAATATTTACAACTGTTATATTTTATTGCTGGATTGACTTCTTTATCAATATAAATGACATTGATTGTCTCTTGTTATAGTTTCTGTATTACAGCCAATTTTGTCTGATATAACTACAGCTACTCCTTCTGTCCTCAGGTTCCATCTGCATGGTCTCTTTTTTCTATTCTTTCACTTCTGGTCTGTGTGTATCCTTACAGCTGAATTGAGTCCCTGTAGGCAGGATAGAATTGGATCTTTTCTTTCTTTCCTTCTTTTTTAAGAACCTTTTTTCATTTAGCCACTGTACATCTTTGGATTGGAGAATTTAGCCCTTTTACATTTAAATAAATGTTGGTAGAAATATACTTACTACTGACGTTTTATTGTTTTCTAACTGATTTGTAGTTCCTTTCTTCCTTTCTTCTGCTATGATCTGATGATTTTCTGTAGTGGAATGTTTTGACTCCTTTCTCTTCATGTTTTGTGTTTCTATGAGAAGTTTTTGTTTTGTGGTTACCATAAGGCTTAGACAAAACATCTTATATCTGTAACAATCTATTTTAAGCTGGTAACAATTCAACTTTGAATGGATACAAAAGCTCTACAATTCTACACACTTCATCCCACATTTGGTGTTTTTGATGTCACAATTTACATCTTTTTATCCTGTGTATATATTCAGAAATTATTGTAGTTATAATTATTAATATTTTTTGTTTTTTTTAACCTTTATAGTAGAGTTACTCTGTTGCATAAATCACTTATTTCCATTTCATTATTTGTTTCTGGAGGTTTATTTTGTTCTTTTGTTTGGAACGTTATTTCCCTGTTTCTTCATTTTTCTGGATTCCCTGTGCCGATTGGTTTCTGCACATTAAATAAGACAGACACATCTGCCAGTCTTGGCACACTGGTCCCGTATAGGAATTGAGCCTCATCAAATCGGCCTGGACTGGACTGTTGCTTGTCTCTTAAACTGATGTCATTGCTCTAGCAGTTTTTTTTTTTTTTTTTTTTTTTTAAGTGGCTGTTAGTAGCTGACAGGCCTATCAGTGTTCCAAAGGAAAGAATCACAGTCAGCACCTAGATGCAGGCTGATTGGAAGACTGACTCTCAGACAGCAGCCTGTGAAATATACGGTCAAACCCATTTTAAGGAAAGACTAGGAAATGTGCAACTTGCCAGGTACCTCTACAGTGAGTCCTGGGGGGGACGGCCTGGGTTAGTACTTTCACACACACTTGTTAAGAATTGCCTCATCATTTGCTACAGTCCTGTGGGATTTGTGAATATGAGCTCTGTTGCCTATCAGATCCAGTCATCCCTTGGGCGGCAGCAGTAAAAGGTAGCGTACCAGGCATGGGTACAATATGCCAGAGATAGGATGACGTCCTGGTTTCATAGGAGTGAGCCAGAAGGAGAGGGCGACAGAAATGTCCACCAGCTCCCCTGGGCTCCGTGGAGAATCCTACCAGCTCTCTGATGTGTGCAGCTGGACCCTAGCATATGGGCACTCGGGCAGCAGACTGTAAAGTAGATAGTCAACTGCATTTCAAGGACAGACTCGAGACGGCTACTTCTGCCTGTTCCCTCTGTGCTGATAAGGTCTGTGGGGAGGATCCCAGTGAATGCTCATGAGCCCATTCTGAATGGTTTCTTTGTTTTCTATAGTCCTCTGGGTCTTGTGGACGTATAACCATTGGCTTTCAGAGGCAGGTGTTTTGGGGGCCTGTCTCCCGACAGCCTTAAAAGCTGGGGTGCTAAATGGATGGTCCAAATCCTTGCTGCTCATGGAGAAGCTGGGAGTCGCGGATTCCATCCTGATTGTATGGCACTGTGCTGGGGTAGTTTTTATGGAAAGAGTGTGCCTCAGCATTTCTTATCCATTTCGGTGTGTGTATGTTCTTAACTGCCTGGGTTTCTCTCAGGGTGACTCCTCTGTGTGTGTCTGGGGGTGGAGGGGACTTCAGGACCTTCCTGTCTCACCATCTAGGTCCCTCCAACTAAACACTCCTGATGACTTGGTTAAATAGCAGTTCCTCATTAATTGTAAACTGTCAGTGGAAGTTATAAATGGAATTCTTCTCTTAACTTTACTCTCAGAATGTGTGTTGCTAGTGTACAGAAATACACAGAAGTTTTACACTGACCTTGTATCCTGAAACCCTGCTGAAACTACTTATCACTTTTCATAGTTTTTAAATTAGATTCCTTAGGATTTTCCATTCACAAAATCTCCTTTTTTCCTAATCTGAATGCCATTTATTTCTTTTTCTTGCCTAGTATCCCTTGCTAGAAGTTTTAGTACCGTGTTCAACAGACATGATGAGGGGCCATTCTTTTCTGTTCCTGATCTTAGGGGGAAATCATTCAGTCAACATTAACTATATTAATATAATCTTTCTTTTGATAATAGGTTTACTTCATATTAGGGAATCCTACGCAGTAGTTCTCAGGAAATAGCCAGCGATTAGCCCAATGAAACAAAAATCAATCTGGTTTTGGAAGTCATAGTTATTTAGAGATAAATGAATAAGCCAGTAAAAACCATAATTAATAAATATATTATAATGTAGATCTGCCCAAGTTACTGAATTAATCATGTACTACAATGATATCAAATACATACGGCAAGGGCTTTGTTACTTTTACTGAGAGTGATGATTCTATGCCCTTCAAGCAAATATTTTTTTCTACTTCATATGCTGTTACTTAGTAATGACATACATAACTTAAATATGCTGCCATCTACTAGGGATGTTTAAGACAGGTTATGATAGCCATTAGGATGTTATAACCATTCTTTCCATTTTGTATTGGTTTGTCAATGTCACCAATTCATTTCTGGTATGACAGTCTATAAAGAAGAGATTCAAAACTCTCCATTTGCTAGAATCACCTTGTACAATGTCACAGGGAATGTACACATTCCATAAACATAAGAGTTTTTTTCTCTTATAGTGACTAATACAAGAATATACTAGAATTAAGAATTATATTTTTGTAAAATATATTGAAACATCCAGACTTTGGGCCTACTAAAAGCAATGGAAAAGATGAGTCAAAATTTCTCAGTATTTTCATGATAATCTAGGAAGGAGCAAAATTACACTTTATTCAAGAAACACAATGAAGTAAGAGCTTATAGTCTACTGTTGCATTTTAATACCTCTACTCCATAGTGAAATCCAGTTCACTACAGACCGAAAATTCCTGTCTCTAAGTGTGATGGCGCACTCACTAAATGAAGAGAATGGATAAGTGTGAATCTTTTTTGGAGCCTTTGGTTCTTCTCCGTTTTGAAGCAAAAGTCCTCACCAAAGAAATATATGGTGGACAAGAGAAAAAGGAGAAAACATTCTTAACTTCTCTAAAATAAACTAGTTTTGAGATCGAGCCTGTGGGGGAGATGGCACTTTAATGAAGCAGGGAGACTGGCCCTCCATATAGCTCGCTCTCCTTCTCTGCTGCAGTTAACAAGAAATACTCGGCAAGCCTTGCCAAGGAATCTAAAAGGAGTTGCCTTAGGCCTTTCAGGGTTTTATACTGATGTATGTATCTTATTCAGTAACCTTCTATATATATGAAAAACTGACATTCCTTATATAATAGCCATTTCAATCTTGCTTTTTCTTCAAATCAGAGGATAAGTACAGGTCAGCAGTTTGATCATCCTTGTGAGAGCCCAAGTACTGGCAATCTTGATCCATAGGTACATTTATCATTTATACAGAGGAAAGACCATTATTTAATTTGCCAAGTGATATCACAGTAAAGCAAACATTATCATTATTTTTAGGGCGGTTCTGGCAGATGTCAAGCTAGTCTGCACCAAAATATATTGAATTGCACATTATAAATGACCACTGTAATAAAAATATTATCCTAGGTGTTACAAGCGGATTAGTAAGTAATGTAGTTTATTCATTTACTGAAGTGTTATTTTAAAGCACAGTTAATTTAGAACACTTGAGCAATTCTTACGAAAAACAGGAAAAAGAGTTCTTACCAAGTTTGCAATGATGTAATGGTAACCCTTAACATGCTTCCCAACACTCACAATCTGTGAAGACAGAAGGAAATAAGAGAAAACCAGTTTAACTTTACTGAATGATATTTTTAAAAATAGAATTTTAACTATTGTAGCATAATTCCATGTGGAAACATGATGAGAAAATGTTACAGTTTTCCTTATAATAGAAGGAGTTCATAAGCCACCTTAAAAGTTAAGTGATTAAAGTAAAAACAAAAAACCCTCTAATTTCAATCGTGCTGTATAAATGACCCTTCATTCACCATGCCTTGTTCTTGTTCATAGAACTACTATGCTATGATTCCCTCAAAGAGGATGACATGGTTATAAAACAAACCGATAGTTTATATGAATATTTCTATAAAGGAATATACACTAACATAAGAAACTTAAAATATTTTGGTCCAAAGACTGTAGGCATCCTTAATTTGTTGATAATTTATAGAAATACATGGTAGGCTGTTAGTGTCTTCAGTAGTTAAGAATGATTTTCTATGAGTAGACTGGATTTTTGTGCTGAGCAGGAAGCAAGGTTTTTCTAAGGCACAATCTCTGTGTGTAGACACCTGTGATACTACAGAATACTTAGTTAATCCCCCCTGCATATGGATAGAGTATTATTTTATTATAATACAAAGAATAAAGATAAAACATCAAGAGACTTTTTCTCTCTGCTAGATTCATTTTTCCCCCCTAAGAATATTTTCAGAAATATTTTGGAAATTACAAACTCAGAAATTTCTTTTTTTTTTTGAAACTCACAAATTTCTAATCCAGAAATAAAATTGCATTAGAAATTGCAACTCTTGGGGCACCTGGGTGGCTTAGTCGGTTAAGCGTCCGACTTTCGCTTAGGTCATGATCTCGCGGTTCGTGGGTTTGAGCCCCGCGTCGGGCTCTGTCCTGACTGCCAGCTCAGAGCCTGGAGCCTGTTTCAGTCTGCGACTCCCTCTCTCTCTGACCCTCCCCTGCTCACGCTGTCTCTCTCTCTCTCCTAGAAATAAATAAAATATTAAAAAAAAAAAAAAAGAAATTGCAACTCTTATTTTCTATAAAACTGAAAATTCCTTCAATGAGAGAAAATCTAACGACAAGCACTGATGGGCAGCACTGGAACCTCACTGGTTCCTCAAAGGTGAAAACACAATACATGATTTTCATGTACTTTCATCATAAAAGAAAAAATCAAGTTGCATTTGGCGTTTTCACATCCTCTAAAAGTAGTTCTTTGTAAATTAGTGACTTGTGTATGAAATGAAGGAAAACCTTTTAAAAACAAGGGTTGCGCACAGGGCTGTTGGTGAGACGGCGTCTCTGCTCACGCCCCCTCCCTTATGGTTACAGCCAAAAACTTCTCTGTTTTTACGGTTCTGCAGTTTCACTACAATGCACTTTGGATTTTTTACTTTTAAATATTTGTTTATATTGTACAGGATATGTTCTGTGTTCGAAGTATGAGGATTTCCCTTCATAAATTTTGGGAAATTCTCTACCGGTATCCCTTCAAGCATCCCTTCGAACATCTGTTTGTTCTAACAGATACTGTGGTGTTGATGTCACTGATTCCCAGATCTCAGCATGTGGTATAAATTCAAATGCAAACGACGATCTGCCTCTAGAAGGTTGTGATGCCCAATTCTCACAGAAGGCATCTCCCTCACCACACTGAGCCCAGGCCCAGGCAGAAAACACTCAGCTGACTCTCCGTGCAGGAAGCAGATTTTTTTCCTGCTCCTCTTTTTGGAGTGTCCTTCTTCAAGAACGTGGCTTTAAATGGGATTGAGATCTAACTTATTGCCTTGGCTGAGCTCAAAGTCCCTGTTCCTGGGTGAGCATGAGACCCCCAGTCAGTCAGGTGCCCAATCTGGCAACTTCCTTGGGTGCAGCTCTCTTATGTTATTGGCTCCTGGAGACATTTCTTCACTCTCCAGGAAGCTCAACTCTGCATCTGCAGTGTTTTACATGAAGTTTTATATTGCCCGGTTTATCTAGTCCCCAGTTTATCTAACTGAATATCCTGTGACAATTTCACTGCACAGATGAGGACAAGCAATACAGAGATGGGATGATAAAGAAAGTTCAGTAAAGAAACCACTTAATTAGTCACCATATTGGGTGACCCAAACCCGAGTGATTTAGCAGAGGCCAGGGAGGCAGGGGCCCTCTTTTTCTCTGGGAATCTCAGGTACAGCTTGTACAAAGGACAATTGTCTAGGAACACTGGACAGCTGGGACTCAGTTAGGAAACTGCATAGTCTATAATTGAGTCGGCCAGACCTTCCTGCTATTTGACCCCAGCGGGATGTTGCCACAAGACAATTCCTTATTAATCTCTTGCTGACTCACTGTCCCTTTTCTCTGGCGTGGCACGCAGGCAATTTTGCACTCTCTTTAAGCCCCATGCTCATCCTGCCTCTCCTCTCACTGCTCTTGGCCCGGGGTTTCTCTGGGGCTGCAGTCAGTAACCTCTGCTTTCCTCTAAAATCATTTTTGAGAGTTAAAACACTTGCACATGTTGAAAAGATGAGGAAATTCTGCACTAGGAGTCTCTGTGAGGAAATGACTGTCAGTTCTAGATCACCTAGCAAAGAGCTGTAAGAAATTAAAACTTATGTAATGCGTTTTCAAGGAACGAGGACCTTTAGAAACCACAAACAAGTGAAAGTGACAAAAATCCTGGCAGAAGAGGCCTTGCAGAGCATGATATGCGTCGACGTTCTGGGAGCCAGGGGTCTCGGGGAGCACTGATCTGAGGATTGACTTCCCTGGCTGGGTACGCGACAGAGAATGCCATTTTTGCTGAGCCAGATCCTGGCTGGGGAAAAACAAATGTGAGCGCCTCACTGTCTTTGAACACTCACCACCCTGACTGAGGGTGGCCAGGGGTTAAGGCCAGATATCAGTCCTCTGCCAAGCATCCAACACTAAATGGAAGTTTCTGTGTGAAAACAAGTCCAACGTATACTCCATTACTCTATAGTGAAGTGTCCTGCACTTAAGGTGTCGTTTGCTTAGGTTTGTAAAAAATTTTTTATGTCTGTGTAAAACCACTAGTGTCATAGACATGGTTCACATAGCTATCATCATCTCAACCAAAGTGAAGACTATATTGTATAGAAACAAAACAAAATAACAAATCTGCATGACTTTACTTTGCATGCAGACTACACCTGTGTCTCTGTATTTTTTTTTTAAATTTTTCTTTAACGTTTTATTTATTTTTGAGAGAGAGATAGACACAGCATGAGCAGGGGAGGGTCAGAGACGGAGGGAGACACAGAATCTGAAGACAGGCTCCAGGCTCTGAGCTAGCTGTCAGCACAGAGCCCGACGCAGGGCTCAAACCCACAAACCGTTGGTGACCTGAGCTAAAGTAGGATGCTTAACTGACTGAGCCACCCAGGTACCCCAGTATTTCTGATATTATTCCTTATAAAGAAGAAAAATAAACAGTGTGAGGTGAAAGATATGAATATCTAACAGCACAACCTTCACACAAGGGTATTTGGCCTACTTGTTATGGGAAACCAACGTCTATGATGAAGACTTGGCCATGGCAATTAATTATAGCCGTTCAATAAGACAGAAAACTGTAGGCGTAAAGTCTGTGCATCTCTATTACCTTCTTAAAAGACACAGAGAATGATAAATGGACCAAGAATAATGATCAAGTATTTGTTCAGAGTTCTAAAGAATGAGTTAGGAAGAATGTGCAAGTTACAATGATTATACACTTTGAGAGGAAACCACCTTTACAAGAATAAAATGCTTCAGAAAAGGCACCGAATGATTTCTTTGATTACTTTCTCTTGTTTGGTTTTTAGGAAAGAAACAGTTGCTGAGAAACATCTATGGTGCTGGTCGAAAGATTCAGTTAAAAAACCAGGCCGATGTATATTTAATGAGGTAAATGCCAGATGCACTCACCAAGCTGTTTTGTTAACAACTTAAGACATAATCCTTATGACTGTGACTTCTAAGTCTTTATTCATTTATTAAAATTAGGGAAGGATGAATCCAGGATTCTTTTTCACCTCGATTGCACTTTTATTTTTTTCTAAATTTTTAAATGTTTATTATTTATTTATTTTTGAGAGAGAGAGAGAGACAGAGAGAGAGAGACAGCGCCAGCATGAGCAGGGGAGAGGCAGAGAGAGAGGGATATACAGAATCTGAAGCAGCTCCAGGCTCCGAGCTGTCAGCGCTGAGCCTGACGTGGGGCTTGAACTCATGAACCATGAGATCATGACCTGAGCTGAAGTCAGATGCTCAATCACCTGAGCCACCAAAGCACCCTGACTCCACCTTTAAATAAATTTAGTTCAATAAATCTGTCCTATGTATAGGTCTAGGGTAAGGAGATTCAAGGCTTATAAAGATAAGTAAGTCGGTGAAGCTGTTTCAAGGGTGTTTAATTAATCTCCTAAGGCAATAAGCCTCAAACAGAAATGACTGAAATACTGAGCAGAGTAAAGGACTGTGCCATGGATTTGAAGAAGTGGGATCATTTGTTTGGGAGACCTAGGTGATTTTAGAGACAGAATAGATGTTAAATAAATATTGCTTGAGTGGATGAATAAAGAAGCTAGCCTATAAATGCCACAAACACTAGTATATTAAGATCAATTTGAAACTTGTAAATGGTGAGAGTTTGGCCTTTAGCCCACAATCCAATCCTATGTGAGTCCTTTCTGTATCGATTGTTTATAAAGCATCCGGGGTCTCTCTAGTTATAGCTGCTGCATATTACCTCCAGCTGTTACTACGAAGCCACCATGACTGTTGAACACTGTCTTCAGGTTAGAGACCTGCAACGGCGCACCCCAGTACGAATGATTTTGGTTTTCCTTTTATTCTGATTTAATAAGTCAGCTGGAAATTTCTCTCCCAGCTGTTATCGTGTTCTGGAAAACTCCAGCCTACCTGGTGGTGTAGGGGACACAATGCCTTGTCAGTGTTGGAGCCTTACTGTAACAAGGGTAGTCATCACTAGTCTTTGGTCTCTGTAGAAATCCCAAACCCCCAGGTAT